CCACATTGCACTCATCTTCTGTATTAGAACACATACACATGTTAGACATTTTAATATAAGCAAGTTTCGGGCACCGGATATTTTTTTGAAAAGCTGTTTCACCGAATTTCGCATTTCCCGGTTCGTCGAATTTTGATATGAAATCATAATATAATTATTATACTTGTCACTTCTTCAATTAGAAATGGTTACAGATAATTATAAAATAAAAGTAGGCTTTCGCAAAAATTATGTCGATTATAGGCTATGCCAACGTAGCCGAACAGTAAAAAAAAATGTTATGAGGGTGTTTTTGTTAGGGTTCAAAAAAGACAAAGGCGATTCTTCAAATGAGCACTGGTCACACAGGCCGACTGGTAACATAATTAAAATAAAAGCACCGACTTCACAGAACAGGAAAAAACAATTTCACTAGACGTTTCGCCTCCATGAATAAACGCCTCCATGAATCATGAATAACCAACTCGCCCAAGCTGAAGTTCTGACCAGTTTCGCCTCCCTTGCGGGAGGCATCTTCAGTAGTCACACAACAATGCCTGTGTAAGCTTCGTGGAGAGGGCCGCGTTTTTTGTTACACACGGATGTGTGTGTCCCTGCGAACAAACCACGATTCTAGGATTTTCGGGACCCCCATCTGTCCTCCCTCGCCAAGGTCGTCGCGGCCGGGAAGTCAAAATAATGCCCTATTGTCTACACATAGTACACCAGTTCAGACTTCAGTCGGGTCGCGTGGGATGCGCACGTGACGTCACGCTTGTGTTTACAAAGCAAATGAAAAGTTCAACCTCAAGTCAACGCTATTTATCAAATATGTCCGTACTTCGTGGAGAGGGCCGCGGTTTTTCTTACACACGGATGTGTCTCTGAGAACAAACACGATTTTAGGAGATTTTCGGGACCCCCATCTTTGTCATAGGGTGACTCGTTTATCGGACTGTTCGTCGCAGCGAGAGTACAGGGAAGGATAATAATTCATACCCTATATCGTGCAGAAGAGAAGAATATTAAAAAAAAAAAAAACGAAGCGAAAATTTCGATTTCCTTTCTTGTGGACAGGGCATTGTAGGTGAACGTGGCTTCCTTGTTTGATTCGCCAAAGTAGCAACAAAGCGACATTTTACGATCGAGCGAGCACCGTCGGAAACACTGCCCAAAATAATTTTATAGGGAGTTTCACGGCTTTCCACTGCGACATAAGCACGTGGATAGAAAAACAAATATTGACAACAATAATTGTCGAATATTTTTGGCACGCTCACACCTGGTTTTTCTTCATAATTTGATGACTCATATGTTGATTTTGTTTGCGGAACCGTACTTCTGACCGGCAATTTTATTGCGTACGCGAAGCTTTTGCGTGCGATCCACTACAGTTAATTATTTTGAGGTGTCCAAGTTGAAGCGGTGCGTGTTATTTTTCGATCTCTGTCCGAATGATACAAAGTTTCACGTTTTCACCCTGTGAGTGAAGCGAGTTGGTCAGTGCTAGCATCGAAGGCTAACTTCGAACTCTAATTTGGAAATAATGTCTCTGCTGCCGCATCTCAGACAAAGATATATATGCTCTTATCACTGTAGCAAAATAACGTGGCAGGATTTGTGCTCTTGTTATGATCGTGTACCATTGTAGTCGACGTCATCCCAGCACGGCGTAATTCGGTTCAGCCCTGCAAACCACACTTGAGAAAAAAATGAAAGTTTGCACCTTGTTTGTTCAATTTTTTGTTATACTGCAGAAACATATTGCGCCCCGTGTTTTTGAAGGCACGGTAGACGGTGGTGACGGTGAGGTGACCGACCCCCATGTCAGCTGGCGTCTCGCTCGACCTCCTTGGAGGACAGGTCGTTTTTACTGGTGACTGGTGCATACGTGGAGCAACTCCGCGCGCATTGCGTTCTTCATCTCAGAGAACGCAATACATGACTCAGCTCTATCTCGTCATCGCTCCAAAATGACAAGTGGAATTCGCAACTGTAGTCGGTGACAGGTCAAGAACGAAGTGGGAGCTCCTCCCACCCTGTTCCACTTCAGCGGAGCGAACGGGGGAGAGGAGGTCGCCCCCTCTCCAGCGTTCGCAAATGGCAAATATTAGTTTATTAGGCCACTAACTGTCAATTTACGCTCGTTCCTTTACGTCCGCCGCAGCCGATAATGTTATCCCCGGGAATACCAAAAGTATAATTTCTTTCAGCAAAAAAAAAAAACAAAACAAAACAAAACAGAATAATAAAACGCCCGGTATATCACAGCTTTGACAACGCTTCACGTGTGTGAGGTTCGATGACCGACAGAGAACCACCGCTGGCCGTGCTCCCGAAGCGGGGAAGTGCAATCTATGGAGACCGATCATATTATCAGAAAGGTGCAGACTAGGGAGCCTTCATGTGCGCGAAGCGCACATGGAGGCACTCTAATGCGGACAATCCAGGAAAAGTATTCTTGCAACTATGAGGTTCCAGTTGTACTTACACATGCATTATCGTCAAATTTGACGGAGTTCCTTCCAACACTAAAGAGTTGTCAAGAGTGAAGATTATAAAGGAGAATATCAGCAGGAATCTATTGTCTGTTTACTGAAAACAAAACAAGCATCAGAAAAACGCATTTGGGCGGCCGGGGAGGCCAGAAGCACGGACTGCGCGCACCCAGCGTGGAACCAGCGAATGAGAGGGCACTCCTAGCAATCTGTTTTCAGAGCCACGGTATGCCGGCTGCCGGCCAAATGTCCACTTTAATTCTATTATGGCTTTCGAAACGTAAATACACGCTCGAGAATTTTCAACAATATCACGCGAGCGCCGACCGGCCTGTAGATCAGCGCATCGTCACGGCGCGAAGTAGCGATATCAATGACAGTACGCGCGTGCGCAGAAGAAACGCGCCGAAGTCGGCGTCGGCTGCTAAGCTGTTTCCCCAATCACGACCCACCCCTGACGCGACGCCCACCGCTTGCTCCACCCCATAAGCAGGGGACCTAGTAATCAAAGCGACACACACGGTACGCAAACACGAACAGCAGCCAGTAGGAAGGACGCCGACACGAGCTTAGTCAGCGAACGAAAAGACAGACACAAACTTCACTCTAGGCAAACAGAGCAGGGGTATAGTTACAAGGATGAGATGCGTGCGCAGACGGAGGTAAGCAGTGCACAATAAATACGCGAAAACTCGCAGCAACCGAAGAACTGCGCAGCAAACACGTACGTGCACACGCACCAGAAGCACGTGCGTCACGCTGCGTATCTACGCAGAACTGGCGATTTTGGCATTTCGGTAATTTGAAACTTCGATATCGATTCCGTGAACAATTTATTCAGCAAACTGAACCGGTGGAGCCTCGCATAAAAAAAAAATCGTTTAACAATATGAAAGCGACTGAAATTCTTCCTAAAAGCTATATTAGCAGAAAGTACCGTGTTATAAAGGACCTCACGAGTTTCGACCAAGTTTTCCAGCACGTTATTTTGCAAGAAACGGAAGAAGCCAAGTGTACAACCAGTTTCCGAAGCTGGCAACCACAGCTGGAATCAGCGCCATCCTCGGCAGTTTCCTGAACCTCGCGTAGTCACATTTCAGCCACCGCCACATAGAGGGCGCAACCAGACATCCAATTTGTGTTTTCTGTGTGTTTTATGATTCTTTTTAATAAATAGGCTCGATTAGTGAAAATGTGGGCTAATAATCAGGACCTGGAACAGTAATCTCCATTTAATACTAAAAATATCGGCCTAAATGTCTGCCAAAAGGGGTCAAAATACTCGTTTTTGACTATCAACAAATACGTGATTTCACCTATATTCAAACTTTTTTTATGGAAAATCAAAAGTGAAATTTAGAAAAAGGGCCTCGCTTTGCAAAGCGGAATATGTTTTTCTTTGCGGGCCTACAATTTTATTCATGTGTGCCAATCCCTAAGCGCTGTACCACTGTACTACCAAATGAAGTTTGCCAAAATTAACGGTTTTTGTCACTTTTCACGTGAGCATTCCGAAAAAAGTTTAAGCCATATTATAATGAAATTTAGCGTAACTCTTTCGACCATAATTACAAACTGATGTAAAAAGTTTCAAATAAAATGACCGAGTAGGCGCCCAAAACTTCGCGACTGAAGTGCTTCCGCAAAGTCAATTTTTCTAAAGTAAATATCTGTCAAAATAAAATAAAAAACGAAAAAAGGGCCTCCGTTGACAATGAACGCACTCTTCTTCTATAATATTCTAAAATTAGAAAGAAATTGCTCCAATAGTGCACCCTGTACCACTGTACTACGAAACCATGTTTTGCCGAAAAGGTCAATGTTCGCGGGTGCCCTCTGAATTAGCTTTTTGCACTAGGAAAACAAATCCTACATCAGATAAAAGATAATGTTGTACACTACAAGATGATATATAACACATAATTTTAGCAAGCTTGAACACGCCACGATCGCATTTCGAAAACGTGCTGAAAGCGTCATATGTCATGGCCACCGTGGGACCGCAGCCTTAACCTGCGACTTTAATAGCTTTCCCTGGAATATTCCCAAAACACGTAAAATATACCTTAACAATGCTAACAAATGCCCTCTGTCATAAGGTCACAGGAGTCTGACATCACACGCATTCATTGCGCCACGTGACGTCATGGTGTGAGATGACGTAATGGTGTTGCATAACGTCACAGGGTCATGTGAAAGCATTACGTCACGCGACATCTCAATTTTACGATAACGTATTCATGACATGAATGATGCCATTGCGGTATGCTGATGACACCTGACGTAAAAGCACTTTGTGACGGTTCTTCATGACGGTCTTCTCATATAATTGGGCTGATCAAATATATTATGCGTTAATAAATGAGCCTTTATTCAATCAGAGAATAATGTGCCTCTAACCAGAATGTCGTTATCACCGCTGAATAAGCTCCCACGGGAATAGGGTCTTTCATATTGGTGGAGCCTACTTTCCTTATGGTCATTTTAAAACTTCGTATTCCGTGAATCATTTTTTTTTTTCAGCTGCACCAAAGTAGCGCCTCATCCGTGCTACTTGAAAACGTGACCAAGGAGTTGGAAGGACAGTACGCCTGCGAAGTTTTCACCGCAGCACCACATTTCCACCTCGTCAGAGGAAGCGGGCCAATCAGCGTCGTCGAAAAACGCAAGTTTCTTTCTCTTCGCTCCTTTAGCCGACTTTCGATAGAACCCATGCACGCATCGGCACACCGCAGCCCCAGCAAACACATGAACCCACTGTAGGGCATGCCGAATAAACCCGTAAAGAAACGTCACTGCCCGTTACCGAGAGACAACCAGGCTCTTATTTCATTTTCAGCCATGACAGTCGGAAGTATTCGTGAGTTTTAGCATTGCGTAGACGTGCGAACGGAAACCCTATGTTTTTTTTTTGCGTTAGCGTTACGCTTTCTTGAGTGTTTGTGCGCGGAGTCCAAACAGCAGTCTTGAATTTCCGCATGATGACGACGCACATGCGCAGTCTGGAGCACGCAAGAGGAACGCACAGTGCTCGCGGTTCCACCCTTACACATCACTAAATCTTTCTGTTAACACCAAATCTGTTCGTAGGGTGGATTTAACGCGAACAGCTTTACGCTTGAGTGAAACCGAAAATTTGCAAACTACCCCACAAAGCGTGCTCCGATTGACAGCGGTAGCAGGTGCGTTCTGGAAAAGCAAGTTGGAGATCTGCCTCCTGCCAGTGTAATGTAGAATGCTTGCAATGGATTTTTTTTTTTTGCTTTCAGTGCAATACAGTGAAGCCCGTTTAGAACGAACCCACGTACAGCGAATTATTGCTGATATGGAACTCACAGGAAATTTATATAAAAATGCATGTCAAAAGTACCTTTTGTAACGAACAACATATTTGCTATATCGAACTTCCCCCCCTCCGGGAAGGCTTCCAAAAACGCGCAAACAACCGTTTTCTAGCCGGTCCCTTCGCCCCAAAAAAAAGTAAGAAAGAAAGAAAAGTTCAAAAGCTCAAGGTGCGAACAAAATGGAGCCAAAAAAAGCGATTCAGAAGGGGGATAAGCTAACATAACTAACCCTGCAAGCATGCAAAAAGAAAAGAAAACAAACTTTCCAGCGCGTTGCTACAAGTCGGAAGCGAAGAAATGAGAAAGAAAGAGAAGCTCTCGGCCTTACAACCGACCTATCGCGGATGTTTGTTGTAAATGGTTTTCGCTATATCGAATTACTTGCTCTATCTAACTGATCGTAGCGCTTCCTGCGGTTCGTTATAAACGAGTTTGACTGTAGATGTATGAGGCGTGTGTTACGAGATGTGTGCTCTGGTAGAACGAGGGTGCGAGAGGTTACATGTGTCGGAGGATATCACAAAGTCATGCCTTGCTTTTGCTGAAACGCTGCTTTAGAACGGGGGCGCCCTTGACAGCGCCTGCGGTGGAAGAAGCGAAAGTACGTACGCGAGCTGTTCTGTTGAGACGCGGAAAGCACACGAGAACGGAACCTGGGCGGCGGCAGCCGGGAGGCGAGGAAGCCTGTCGGCATAGCGCGACTACGTGGGTATTTCGCGTTCCAAGTAACGACGCTACTGGTGACGCGTTAGTTGTTTCGCTATCGCACTAACGTACTCGTTAGATTCCCGAGCGGTATCTCCTATAAAATTACGTTACCTGTAACTGGTTACTTTTAATTAAACATGGCCCCATGATTTTTTAAAACAAAATAATTTTTATTTTGTACATTACGTAAAAGTTGCGAAAAAACCTCAACAAAACTGTGTACAAGCGGCCTCATTTCAAACTCCTTCGGAAGGCAATTTCAACGTTCCCACGACCGTGCCCGAAAGGTGTGAGACTATCGCTGCGCGGAACCCCTAAGCGTCCTTCGTGCAGTCTTTGTATAGAAGGTGCTAAGATCACAGTCGCCGTACCCTGAGCAGCAGTCTCGCTAGAAAGAGATATTCGTTCCGAAGGCAACAGTCTGCCGCCGCTCAAAGGAGTTTTTCGTAGCGTCGCTAGCTACTCCAGCTGGTCACATCCTTCTCTTCAAAACAAATACATTCCCGGTCTCTCAACAACAGAAAGGATAAACTCTAGGTTGGAAGATGCTGGCTTTCCCGCGCTTTGAACCAAAACAGGTGTGCCAGCGGTGGCCTTGTGCTGACGTGTCGTTAATTGGAAAGGCGACGTTGGTTTGTGAAAGAATAAAGTAACGTTCATTTTACCGTATTAACTTTGATTACATTAGAGCTCTATTTTGCGTCTGTTACGTGTCGTGCATGCGGTCGTTCTTTTCAGAGCGGTTTCTTCTTCTCAGGCAGGTGCTACGGGCAAATTTCTATTCTCCGAATCGCTCTCGCGAAGCGTCGACTGTCCGAGGATGTACATTACACATCCTGCCAAAGCCAGAGAAACAAGCGGGACCAGCTAAACGTGTTGAGGATGTATATTACAATTGTGCGAATCGCGCTCTCGAAGCGTCACGTGTTCGAGTATATACATTACATATCCTGCCGAACCCACAAAAACAAGCTGGCCCAGCTAACAAGTGGCAAGGTTACCGGAGCATTGACCGGCGACCGTCACCAGAAAGACGTCACCATCTTATAGAATCTCTGCCTATTTGTGCTGTCTCTGTGAGCTTCCAACGTATAAATGTGATCTCTACTTCACTCTTCTGCTGTAATGCTCCGGCGCTGCTAAGTACAAATGAATAAATAAACAATCACTCTGAACAATTGTATTGTTGCCGCAGTTTATATAGGCGGTTTATTACAAACAGCTGTCATGTGCAAACAATGAAACACAAAGAAACGACGAACTAACGTAAAAGTAACGTCCGTTAGTCACGGCAATTTACGACACCGGTATTTCGTTACATATGAAAAATGGTAACGGAGTTCTGTAACGCGTTAGCTTTTTTCCAAGTTAACGAGTAACGCCATTTTGTTACTCGATCAGGGTAACGGGTAAAACACTCGACGGCTGCCGGAGGGGTGAGGTTCAGGAAGGGAGTACGCCGCTGGAGGGTACGTGGATGTAGCAGGAACGATGGGGTTCCGGACAGCGCCCTCCCAGTCATCACACGGGTTCTCTGGAACAGCGGCGGCCTACCGGCCTACAGGAGGGAATCGGGGAGAGGAAGGGGGGGGGGGGGGGGGGGGGTAAGCGAGAGGCACATGCCACAGTTGGCGTATGTTTGACGAACGACCGGTAGTGGGAGAGCAGTGCCCCTGCTGTATACAGTGAAGTTTTGGACGTGTACATGAGAACTTTCTGCCGGGAAGGGGTACTAAGAGTTACCGGTGTAAAAAAAGCGTTAAGCGTAGGCCAAGGGGTTAGCCCATTGCATGTAATGCATAAGGGTTCATACAGAAGACGTACTCTCTCGTAATCAATCACACCTGACCATAATTAGGCCTATTTATTCGCAACACGCGAGACTTACCACGCCGCTCAGTGGGAATCAATGATCCGCAGCCCGACGCCTTTGCTCGGCGCCACAAAGAGACGAAAGGAAGCGGCTGCCGTAGGAAAAATGACTCGCGGGCGCCTGCAGGTTACCATCGCCACACGCGAGTATCTTCCGAATGACGAAGCGTCGCTCGCTACGTGAGCTAACAACGTCACGTGGCGGATTATTTCATAAAACATCAACGCATAGCTCAGCGAACGTATGGCGTCATGCACGAAGTCATGACGTCGTACGTCATATGCAGCAATAAACCTGGTAAACCTCCTCCCCTCGTAACTACTTCAGCTATACTTCGTTTCACCTTAGGTCCAGACGCGACCGTAGCTACGAGCTGATGGGCCAAACAGGCAACGTCAAAAACGCACTATTTTGGTGGTGGACATGTTTCTGGTGCTCTTGCTATCGCTGAATCGTAAAACATGAACATAAAATGCGCAGTGGCTGCCACTTTTGAAGCTCCTTGATAAATCCCATTACTTCGTTGCGTCGACTGCATCTGGACTGAAGCTGAAACGAAATATAGACTTTTGCAAAAATCGCCTGATGCCATCTTTTTCTGCTGGACTTTGAAACCGTGTTCTGTGCATGTACCGTCGCTCTGATGCACAGTATATTGGATCCTGCGCATGCGTCCACAGCTCAATGACTCAGCATTTTTCGCCCGGGTGATAATATTTATAACAGGATAGGCTCCCTGCGATCAAAGAGCACTAATAATTCAAGGTACCTTACATGCAATCGGACAAAACAGGTCCCATGGAAACTTCGCTTAAGCACTCAAACACTCAACTCCTAAGTAAAATGAAACCTGTCGCGATCGTTTTGACGAACCCGGGGCCCGGAACAGACGTCGTGAGCGCAACGGTTCCGAAATTACTGAAAGCTCCTCGTGACCAAGCAGAGCAAATTATAACGCACGCGTAATGCCCTCACGACACACTTTGTGCTGCCGGGTTCATCAGAATGATCGAGACAAGTTTAAATCTTTTCTTTAAACCTCATACGGACATTGATATTTTTTATTTCTTTTTTACAGCGGCAACTGTCACGAGCATGCCCCCCCCCCCCCCCCCCCCCTCCCCAGTTTCGCGACGGCACGAGCGAAAATGTATACAGGTTCCCCACTAAAGTTAGAGGAAAAATTTACATCCCCTGACCTATGCACCAATTCAGTTTCCTAGGTATATTTTTTGGGGGAAAGCTAATGTTACGTAACCTGTCGTCACGGGACCTACAAATTTAGATTACCCGCTAAATTTAGCGGAAAAATTACATCACGTGACCTACATACCAATTCAGTTTCTCCGCTAAGTTTAGTAGAAAAATTGACGCCATGTGGCCTGTACATCAGGACAGTTTCCCCACTAAATTTGGCGAAACATTTTGGCGGCGCCATGAGCATAAACGAAAATAAACCAAAAAGCTGCCACTGTCTAAACAAATCACTCCACGTAATCGTCCCACAATTTTCTTTGTGACTGAATACTAAACCTGGGAAGCGTTGGTCCCAATCTTCTGCCTCTAAAAGGTTATGTGACTTCGACTACTAGAAGTCAAGAACATGTGCTTTATCTGCGGCAACGTGAGCAGATTGGGCTGTATGTTTACGCCAGTAGGAAAACGCCTTGGATTCAGCCCCGACAATGAGCTTTAAGATGCTAGTATATTAGGAAATGGTAGTGCCGCTGTACAAAACGA